GCATGCCTTCGGGATGGAGCATCCTCCCAAGCACAGAGGCAGACCTTGACCTGCAGAAGCCTTTGGGAACTGAGCTCCTACCAAAATTAACAGCAGCTGGGTACCTACGTGGGTTTTGGACTCTAGACCCACGAAAAGCGAGAAGCCAGATGTATAGACAGGCAGAATGTCCCCATTAGCCAATTCACATATTGGGGCCACACAACACTGCAGATACACGCTTGTTTGCTAGGCTACTGTTTGTTACCCCAGGGGCATGCTCCGTCCCTCTGGGCACTTAGCAAAGCTATTACTACTCTTCCTGAAAGATTCGTCTCATGCTTTCGCAGGGGCCAAATTTCACGTATGCAGTAGTATTTTGGGGCTGTATGATTATTTTCAATTAGAGCTGTTAGTACATTTCACTAACACACTCCACATTCAATTTCCTGTATTACCTTAACCACAGGAATACAGTCCATTTACCTCCAAAAGGAGGTACAGTATATTCCCTACAGTTACTACTACATGAATTACTAGTAACCAGACTCAAACATAGTTTGCAAAGGCTTGTTCAGGTTCGCCCTGCCTCCCTCCCCCTTTTTTCTTTAATTTAATGTTTGCTTCTACACCATCCATGAAGATTTGGAGTGTTTGGGGTTTTTGGTCTATCTCTATACTTCCTAAACAGCATTTGCAGCCTTCTTAAGTTTTACTGTTGGAGGTGATGAGGGCTGAATAGGATGGCGGTTTTGAAACTTCAGTGGGGAGAACAAAAAGTTTTGACCATGAAGAACAACATTCCACCTCTAAAAAACTTAGGAGAGGTGGCCTCCATACTGAATTCTTATGAAAAAACAGGTATTTCAGTAAAGTTTTTATGCATTTTATTTACTTGTTTTTAACCAAAAATAACGCTAGTAAAACTCCTAGTATGGAAGCAATTACATTTTTATACATTTGCATGAAGCTTGGCTACCTCTGGTTTCATACACTTGCTTAAAGCAGAACATGCTGGCAGTTTATTCATCTTCCCGTATGAAAATAAACTGTGCTTCCACGCACTTCTACCCAAACGTAACTGCCTACACAAGTGAAGTTATCCTGCTACATCAGTATAGGCACTATTTAGGATGGGCAACAGAAACATGAATCACTGCAGATGAAGAAACGCACAGAAAAACAAAAAAGGGGCTGTACATTTCAACTGCTAATGTTGTCTCCTGAATGTAGGGACAGCTATGAGTTATGTTGTTTAGCTGTATTTTTGAGAGGTGACCTGCTATAACTGTGATGGTACTAGGCTGGAAAAATAATGCATTTAACACTGTGATGTCATTCCACCCACTACCAGTTGCCACGGTCTCACAGCATGCCAATAAAACTTGAATTTCTAGTTTAGAAAAACGTGTTGGGTTTTTTTTAATTACAATCTTCAAAAATTTTACAAAAATGGAAAAGAGCATAAACCCAATATCAAGAGTATCAGCCCCCCTTAGATCATATTGCATACAACTTTTAGCATCCTACTCCTTATTTCTCTCCTTCCCCAAGAGGCCACTAGTCATCATCATTCCCATACACCTGAGTTAATACCCAGGGATCAGACCCCCTGAGTCAGTCCTGAACTGGCTTCAGCAGAGTACTCTATGTCATTGCTCCCCACCCCTCAGGACCAATGATCTCATCATTTTAAGTTAACGTTAACAATTAACAAAGAAAAAGATACCCATGCCTTAATCATCCTCTGCCATACTGCAGGCTTTGAGATTTTTCCTTAGGCTAAGGAAGAAAATAGTTAACGATCCTATTTTCAATATTGTCATGCATCAGTGATCAAGACTAAGTTTATTATCCTGCAAACAAAAACAAAGACCAAAAAATGTAACAGATTACACCCCAGTAACTTTTATTAAGAGATGCAGGGACAGCATTTCTAAGGGAGGTACTGGCTCCACAAATCAACTCAGCTAATACCCCATCACCAGGCTACAGTGTTGGCAGTGATGTGTAGTTTGTGGTATTTGTGGCACTACTGGGGAAAACTATTTTAAGTCTAATTAACATGAAATTTTTAGAATACAGATGCTTTTCATTTATACATAAAACAAAATGCCGTGACATTTCTCCCATCCATTTATCATAAACAAGTTAATTACTGTGTAACAAATAGCTCCTGCTAGAATCTGTATGTTTTGAGGATGTTAGATAGCTGACTCAGGCAAATAAGATGAACCACAAAGTAGTAGTTAATAGCTTATGGCATACTTATAATAAAACAATGACTCTGTAAAAGCTCTTGTTGTCAAATTAAGGCTAAGCTATTTCCATTGGAATAAGTCAATTATAAGCAGTCATTATCTGTTTAACTTGATTCAAACCTAGAATATTATAAGCACTTCCATTTGGATACATTCATAATGCTGCATACATTTGAGAGCTGGATATTACAAAGCTTAAAAGGGAAATGCTAGGTTTATTGCCACACAGGTTATCCCCAAACCACGTAACATCTAAACTTCCCAATGCCAGCTGAAGTTCACCACTATGCTGAGGTCTACGTACGACCTGATTTCTGACGAACGACCCTTTAGGCAGTATAAACCGTCCCAGGGCTCCTCACATCTCCTTCCTAAGGACAAAGGGAGGATTACACAGCATAAAGACTTCATGTTTGCCCACTGGAATCCCCCGAGAGCCATCTGAACTACATATGCGCTTCCCCCCCCCCCCCACCGCCATGAAAGCACTGCCAGGTGAATTCCTACCTACTTTTTTTTCAGGCAAACACTCCCATTTGGCCTGAAGATGAATTACTGAATGCTGATGAATAAGATGGTGGTAGCTGGCAGCAAAGCTTTGCGTGGTAAGATGGTGTGAAACAGTACATATGTCAATCTATCAAACATGATAATGTAAGCAATCTGAACCCATTTTTGGTCTGAACTATTGTACAATACTTCACCCAGATGGAAGAAAGAGATAAACATTTTATGCTTCAGACATATCAAGTGTTAGGAAGTAAAATTAAACCTAAACTGGAAAACTACCAATTTTACATGCTAGAGTATATATAAAGAACAACACAAGCATGCAGAAGAATTTTATGCCCCCAGATTTTCTCCCCCATTATTGTACAAATTAATTACGTATATTTGTTTCCTATGATGAACAGCATCATGTATTTGACTGTAGATCAAAAGGTGTAAAGACTATAGTTTACTTATTAGCAAACACAGCATTTGCACTTTTTCCCTTCTCCTTCAGTTGGCAAAATGCTTACAAATCGCGTAGCTCATGACAATGTTATCAGGACATAAATCTTACAAGTGGTGCATGCATACATAATAACCCGAGGGCCAGTTCAGCCCTAAATCAGAGGCAGGTCTGCTATGACTAATGTAAAACTACAATTGGCCCCTAAAGGATAAAATTAAATAGAAATATATGTTCATTCAAATCAACTTGACAGCCTATCTAAATATAATTTCTTATTTAAAAATTATCAGTTAAAACTGAAATGACAGCCACTATGTTGTCTTCAAAGTCATTGCTAGCTAACTGCTCTAAACAGACCTTCTGCTCCACCCCTATTGTCCACCTACATAAACATGCAGCACAATTTAATCAAGCACTAAACTGCAAAAAATAGTCCTCTGAGCAAACATAAGAATGACATGGTTTTCTACAGTATGTGGAGGACGTTGTTTATCAAATAATTTCCAAAGCTAAAAAGCATGAAATCTACTCGGTTTACAGACTGACCAGTAAAGCTTTACAGTGTATACATTTGGGGAAAATTGCTACTAAATATATAAACAATTGGTACTTGGTCTCTTCATGTGTTGCTATATTCTTGGGCTTCTCTATGTCAAATCCCTATTTGGTTATCTTTCAAACTAAAAATAAACTCCCCAACGTCTACTAGTTGATGCCAGGCCAGTCAAGAGAATTCCTGAACAGCAAAACTAAGACAACTGGGCTCAGAAACAAAACTGATTGCCAACTCATGTAGAGAAAAAATGTCCAGTCCTGGATTCTGCTGAAGCCAGAAAGAATACTGACAACTCTCCCTTTCTTTCAAGAAAAATCAAAGTAACGGAGCAGGTGTTTGCTCTGGAGGAAGACAGAAATCCCAGCTTTCTGGCAGAGACACATGCATGTGAGTAAACGTACTCAGGAGAAAGTAGCCAAGGGGTTATAAACCCTTGAGTAGAGCATCAAGTCCTGATGGGCTCCCCAACTTCCACAATATACTATGTTTTTAGAGCTGCTGTAACATCCACCAATGGTTAGTAATGTAACTCAAGAGGGGTGCTGGGGAGGGCGGGGCGAGGGGTGAGGATTTTGATCTTCAAAAATTCTCTTGGAGTAAAACAATGATATTCTGCATCATGCAAATATAAAGTTTAATTATTTTTAACTTGAAAGGGAGACAGATCAATACACAGGATAATCTATTGTTATTTGGATTACGAAAACATCTTAGAGTTTACAATCACAAAAGTGGTTATAATCCTGCAATTACTATAAAGCTAATTGGTAGTTTCTTTTTGCCTGTGTTTTCATGTTGTCAGTGGGGCAGTAATGAAAATGAATGCCACATTTGTGAACAGAATGTCTGTAGGCTTGTTTACCACATTTCCAACAACAACGTCTGCTTTATCGTGCATTTCAAAGCAGAGATAATTTAAGGATCTTTGCATTTCATACATAAAAATACTTTCTAAAATATCAAATGTAGAGTTCCTTCAGACAGGGTGGGAGTGGGAGACTTAAAAGTGAAGCGATGACCTCGCATACTATAGGCAAACAATCCACCTGAAGCAGACAGCACGTGGACTTTGAATCATTCATCTGTATTCAAAACTGCGCTCAGGTAAACCACTTAGTGTTTCATCCTCCTACAAACATAATTCTGCAGACAATTTCACCATCAAAACCAGCATCTTTAAGCCTCCTTTCACCTCCCGAAAATACAGTTATATTGCAGAACCTATTAAGCTTTTTATTCCACTTACCTTTGAGTAACTTCTGCCCTTCCATGATGTTTTGGGAGACAAATGCTGTGTAGTCTTCTTCTGAAAAGCCAGGCTTACATGTGGGTCTAACTGTAAGATCCCCATTGTGTGCCTGCAAAAACAAAAGAAGGAAAACACACACCGTGACTTTTGTCATTTGGGAAAACGTTTTGCACTCAACGACTAGGTGTTTAGGCAGGAACAAACCTGAACAGTAAAGCAGTGTGCAAGTAGAAACCGCTTGTGCTAAAGTGCCTATCTGTTGGGAGTGCATCCATACTGTAGCTGCAAAAAATAAAATGGGCCAGAAAATAGTTGCCTGACTACAATAGAGAGCATTGTTTGTAGGAAGGCTGGGATACTGGGCACTGTCAGAAGAGGGGAGGAAACAAAGAGCAGCAATTCATCAAGGCGAGCTGTGCTTGCACTGGAGCCACGCAAAGGCCTGATGCTGCAACATCCAAATCACTGAGTTTTGCTATTGAGAAACTGGGCAAGCCCCGGGACTGGAGGAGGAGAAACACACCAGCAGCCTCAGGAGCTCAGGACCAGATAAAAGTCCCCTTCCTTCCCCTTCGCCCCGCAGCAGCCTCCAAGGCTCTGCCTGCTGCTGCCTCTGTGACCCCCCAGGCTCTGCAGTTCCCCCGGCAGTGGGGAGGGATGGAGGGGACGCCCAATCAAAAAATGTAACAATGCCACCGAATAGCACAGCCCCACACACAACCTGCCAAGATCCAGGGGGAGGCACCCAGCTAAACACTTAGCTGCTGTGCCGCAACTTCGGACCGCACGGCAAGGAACCAGCCCCTGTCACAGGGACAGGTTAGTCCAGTCATGGTAGTCGAGGCTCCTTGGGATGGGGTACACATTCCCCAGCAAGGAAGGTCCCAGACCCCGACTCCAGCCAACTCACTGAAAGCACATAAGCCAGTGATTCATGCCTAACAAGTGGCAGGTGATTTATGCACCAACAAGTGCTGGTGGCGAGGGATTCCTAACGCTCCCGGACCGTCAGCAGGGCTAGCCAGAGCATCGCTTAGCAATGCAAGCTACACCTCCAACGCCTCTAGTCCCAGCAGCGCAGGCTGATGCCAAGGGACCGGGAGAGTCACTTCCCCGAGAAAGTGCAACTCCAGGCGCGCACCTGCCTCCCCGGGGAGAGAAGCACGGCTCCCCCGGGCTTCCCAAAACACTCCTGGATGCGGACAATGCTGCATTACAGAGAGAGAAAGAGAGAGAGAAGGGAAGAGGAGCGAAGGGTCCTTTCAGATGAGCTTAGTAAGCAGAAAGCAAGCCAACGTACTCTGCTAAAAATCACGCTCGGGAGACGGATGCCAGCTACTGCATGGGAAGTGCAAGGAAGCAGCGGCTCTGTGGACTCTGACCATCGCTGGCAAGATGTTGCCATTAGGAAACATTTCAAAGGGTCTGACTGAAGATAATAGGCTTTGAATCTGAAATCACCCAATTATTATAACGGCACTCGCTAGATGAGAGCGGATTGGGGCTACTTCTGCACACCCACCAGCCTCCCGAGGGCTCGGACTCGGGACATCTTCACAGATTCAACTTGGCACGGGGGGATTCGGGCAGAAAAATAAGCGGCTCTTGTTCCTGCAGCCAGTCCAACACGAAATACAGCAGCCGCCCCGCTCGCACTGTAACACTGCAGCCACGCGTTCAGGCATTTGTTGATGTTCTGCAGATATCCCTTAATCTGGGGGGGGTGGGGTGTAAAGCCTAAAAAACCCAAACTTTTCAGACCACTAGCCCCCCAACACGGTTCAGGCCCTCCTGGGCGCCTTTACGGGCTCGTAAAAATAAAAGTTCAAGGCACCGCCACGGCGCCGGCCGAGGAGGGACGCCTGGCGCGGAGCGGGCAGCGCTGCGCGGCCGCGCTG